GGCTGATGCCAGGGTAAGGTGATCCATACTGAGTTTTTTGGAAAGAAATTTCCTTACGGAGAAAGCAGGGTCCCACCAGCTTGCTGCAAGGGACCAAGAGACAGCTAAGGCTGCTAAGAGAGTGAAGGAAGGAGGTGGAGTTGGTGGAGGCAGAACTGAGCTCAAAGCAGCTGAGGAAGGATTATACTTCCCTCCCAGTACTTTTATGCCACAGCACCAGAGCCACCTGACCCCCCCCTTGCCTTTAATGATCTTGGCTGAAATGTCTTAAATAAAAAGACAATTGAGATCACAGGGAAGGACCATGGCTTCAAATCATCTGATTTCTCGGTTAGAAGATGGGGATTGGAATTAAAAGAAAAACAGCAAACTGCTACATGTAAAATAGGCAAACTAAGTACATAAGCCTACTGGATTCAGAGAGGAGATATTGGCACATACCAGGGAAATTTCAAGCCAAATGTATGACAGCATTCCTTACACCCCTCCCACCCATCACCATATCCCAGCTTCATGTAAAGCTTTTTGGCTTCCAAAGACTTATAGTTATGTTTTATTGTTTAAACAGGTCAACAATTGCAATCATATGTTGACTCCAGGCAATACACAAACACGATGATGTGTTAATAGACAGCAACACTTGGATGGAGTTTCTACAATTTTGCTGCTGTTAACAGTCATATATATGATGGCAGCTGGGCTGGTGTCTCCTAAGGCTACCTCTGAAAACTAGGAAGCCATTACCAAGAAGCCAGCGTGAGATCAGTAAATGAGCTCTATTTTTAATATAAGTATAAACTCAATTTCTGGAAATCATTTTGGGAGGAGGTCTCTCACATCAACCGTATTTCGGTTTGTTTTTAAGGCTGCTTTGGAAAGGTGCCGCTTCCATCTCCAAGAAGTGTCCTTTTAAGAAGAATTGCTGATGATGGCATCTTTGTCAGACAGGATGGGAGAGGATCCTACAGGCGTATCTGTGTGCAGCTGTCTGCAAAAAGACATCTTCACCATGCTGAGGGTGGGAGTTAAATAGTACAAAGATTCTGGCTAGTGCCTACAACAAAGACATCCAAAACACTTGGCACTGAAGTAATTCTGTTTATTTCACACCAGGGAAGTGTGCAGCTAGGTTATGTAGATACCTTTCCAATGGATGGGATAGTTTTGCTCCAATATAAATTTCCACATGCTCAGCAGTCTTCATTATCAGGTTGTGCCTGTGGAGCAGCTATCCTTGAACATACAGCAAGCTGCCACTTCATCTCAGCTCCAACATACATTGAAAGCAACCTTTCTCAAAAGCACTTGCAAAATGTCCCTCCCCCCATGCAAAAGCTTTAGTTTCCCTGCAGCCAGCTCAGCCATACACAGCGATACCCCAAACGCAGCCCGGCTCATTTTTATCCAGACAGGCATTTTCTACTGTTGTGTCACTGACCACAGATCTCACAAAGGCATTAATCAGGTATCAACATTCCCCTGTGCTTTATTTTGCAACCTGACCGGGATAAGACCTATCGTTTCTTGATTTGTAAGCACACTGGGAATTCTGAGATGTCAGAATTTTACTGACAAATGACCTTTTACACCTACCACAGCTATCAAACAGTTGACCCAGACTTAACCAAATCCCAGTCACAGTCCAGTATGAGACAGATGCATAATGTACCACTTACAGCTTCACTCCTTTCTCTTAATTTTCATGGTAGCTGTTTGGTTTCCTTTGTATTTTTTTTTTTTTCAAGTTCAGAAACCTTATTAAAGTTGTTATGGAAAAAATAAATTTATTATTCAACATACTCAATTTTTTCAAAATGGAATGCTCCTCTTTTCTTTTTCTTTTTTCTTTTTTTTTTTTTTTGGTTTTCATTTACAACTGGTTCCATTCATTTGGACTGTTTTTATCTTTTCTATTTCTTTATAACCAGCACCAAAAAGAAAATTACCATGGATACAGTACATATGCAAATTAGCTAATGGAAAAATATATACATTTCACTCTGTAATGAAAAACTTAAATGATATTATTGCCATGGAGAATATATCCCTGTATTATAATAAAATATCAAGCAATAATCGACTGCTAAGATTCTTTTCCACCAACAAAAAAAAATAGCACCATACAAGAGATAGTGAGAATCTACACTCAATAACACAATTGTGCAACTAGAAATGTACAGTACTTTAGTAACAGTACAGAGTATTGTTTACAATATGGAAATACCACCACTGTAATCAAAAGAGCGTCAATCTCTTACGAACAACTAAAAAAAAGTATTGTCATAGATACACTGAAACAATCAGCTTTCTTTTCACCAGTATGTAGTAACTGAGGGCAGAGCAGAGCTGTAAATTCATAGTAAAGCTCCTACAAAATGATACAAAACAGAAGTGCAGGAGTATTGAACAGAATTAAACTTTTTTATTATTATTATTACTTTTATGGCTGTTATAAAATGGGAAGGTTGTCACCACGTGAAGTAAGAGAAGGTAATAAAATGGAGCTGTGTTGTGCCATCAGTTTTTAATTAATGTTGGTCTCTGATTATAAAAAAATAATGGCTGATGCACACTAATCTGTGGGATGTGAGAGCAAGTGAGGTGGTTTTTTTCAGTGCTCAGACATTCAAAAGAATTCTTTGTAAATTCATGTTTCCTTAGGTAGGACCCAGAACTTGGACCCAAAAGTCCTTTGAAGTCCAGGACCTGGCATGCTGGGACAGGCCACAGGTCTAACTAGCCTAGTATCCTGTTCTGGACAGTGACTAGTAGTGAATTATTAGTGAAAAACATAAAAATTAAAATCCTTCCTGTCCTATACACCTTTCTAGGAGCCAACCTTGTGCCTAGAGAGGGTGACAGATCAGCACCGGAAGGAAAAACAACCCCTGCTATTTAAAAGCACTTTTGATTCCCATTAATAATAAATGCACATGCTGTTCTTCCAAGATAACCAAGAGTCTGATGGCAAATCCTTCAACAGCCCAACTGGAGGGTTAGTAATGCCAAAAATGATCAGCAAGGGGCTGGTGTTTCACTGGGTCAGGGCACATCATGGACAAATGTTGGCTATTAAAAGAAAAATCAAACCAAGTAAAGGACATCAGGGGACCCATGTCAGCCAAACTGCAGTGCGGTGGCTGTGGTGGCAGGGAGGCAGCAAGGACAGTCACAGCCCCTGTTACTGCAGGGTGTGACAGCAGGTAAGGGTGAAAACTACCACTGTGAATTACCATCATAAACCAGGTCCTCTGGGCTCTGCCTGATCTCTTGGAACTTCTCATAAGCAATTCAGAAGAAATTCATAAGCAATTGAGAAGAAAATTCTTTACAGTGAGGGTAACTGAGCCCTGGGACAGGCTGCCCAGGGAGGGTGTGGAGTCTCCTTCTCTGGAGACATTCAAAACCTGCCTGGACGCCTTCCTGTGTGATCTCATTTAGGTTCCTGCTCTGGCAGGGGGGTTGGACTGGATGATCTTTTGAGGTCCCTTCCAATCCCTAATATTCTGTGATTCTGTGATTCTGTAATTCAATCACCTATTAATTTGCCTAAATGAACATCACCGTGGTATTGCCTAAATCTTCCCTGTCACCCCTGTCAGCAACATTTTCCATTAATTACTTGTTAATTAGTTACACAGCCTCTGCATTTGAACTACAGGGTGGGAATAACAGAAGGAGGTCTGATTCTGACTATAATATGTCAAAAGAACATCCAGTATAACAAAAACCAAGTTGGAATCATTTCCTTGATAGAGAAAATCATCTGGGGCATTGGAAAGCAGATCTGTTTGAGACAGGCACTTGAGAAAAAATTGTGTGCAAATGTGCCTTTGTGCACACAGGCCAGCCCTTGCGTGCACGCACGCTCATTTGCACTGAGAAGCACAGATGAGAACGTGAAGCCCACACAGTATTAGTCTGTTGATGAACATTAGCTCCCTGTGCTTGAAAAACTTAGCCCTTGATAAAATGTGAATGAGTTATTCCAGTGAGGTCCTGGATATCGAAAGGATTGTAATAAGGAAGAAAAAAGTTGCTTTAAAGATATATTAGGTACTCAGAGTCTTTATCCATCCTTGCATTGAAAAAAAAGAGACAACAGCAACGAAGACAACTTGAGGACAGATGTGAGCTGCAGTCCAGACTGGCCCAGGGGCTGGGGGCAGTAGCTGGGCTTAGTTCTGCGCTCGTCTCCAAAGAATCAAACAGTAAACGCGCAGTTCTAGAGCGAGTACAAAGCTGCAATTCAACGGCTCTGTTTGTGTCACGAGGAGTGGGTTGTAACTTAACCACGGCACAACTGGCCTTGGACTCTGGCAAGGGAAATGATACATGTTGGAGCAAGATACGATAGGGAGACATTGATCTGTACGACTAATGGAGGGGACAAACTCTGCCCTGGGTAGAGCTCCTGTTTCAAGTCTCGTATCTCAGAGAGGAGTTTGGTTTAAAGTGCAGAGATGTGGAAGAGAGTATCATATGTGCAGCACTTGCTAAGTGCTCTGATAGCACCAAACCTGATAGCACCACAAAAGAAAGACAGGAAGCATTAAAATAGAGTGAGTAAAATCTGAGTGAGTGAGTATGGCTTCAACAAGCTCAAGATTACACTTTGAATGTCTTGTATCCCTGACTGCTTTTGACTCAAAAGGCTACATAACCTCAGGTGTATACAAGAGCCAAGAGATAGGAAACACTTGTTCTGCTCTCCACTCCCTTCTTCACACAAGGGTTGCTCCAAATCCTGTTTCTGTACCAACCCTATCCAGTTTCATGGTCCTCTTAAAAAAAACCCAAAACCATTCAGTCTCATTATCTCATTGACTTCTGAAAACTGGAGAAGGATTAGGCCAAGCAATCCCCCAGTGAGCTCTACTGGATGAAAGGATTTCTTGGCTTCTCCCATCTCATGTAAACAGTTCTTGCTTAAAAATAACTATCTACTGCTGTTAATAATCTTCCATTTCATTAAGCTCAGAGAAAAATTAGGTTTCATAAAAGAAACTGTATTATTTTGGGGAAAAGAGAGAGAGGATTGTTTTTTTTAAAATCAGAAAGAAGAGCAATCTCTATTAGTTGCTCTAAAAATATGACTTGGATTGTTGGATATAATTATATTGACTTTCCTGCAGGAATTTCAGAGATGTCCATCCTCTGCTATCAGTTTTCACAAGTTTTTACAGCAAACCCTCTCTTTAAATTAAGCCTTTCATTTATGTGTGTCCCTCCGAGCCCACTCCACAGTGGGATAACAGTTGGGAATTGAAAACATCAGATGAAAGCCAAGATTAAAAGATTAAGTAATGTCTCTACCTTTGCTGAATTATTTTGCCAGAGGCCTTCCTCCATGGAGGTACCCATAACATTAGTCAACGTAATCACTTTGCAACTCTTGTCCTTTTCTTTAACGGTAGCAAGCCATCCAGTGGCTGGTGATTTAATATATTAAAGTAAAAAGCATTAATGAAAAATGTAAGAATGTCAAAACAAGATAAAATTATTGGCTCCTTGAGATGACTCTTTCTGTTTGTTTTTTTTTAAGGTGGATGAGTGGATTACTTTGGTATCCAGTCTGTCGAATTAGTTTCAAGTCTTATTAGGTTTGCTTTGGAATCCACCACATTGTAGCAACTCATGAAGTTCCAGTACTCAGACCTACTAGTCCGTGATTTACATACAAATAGCTGTTATACTCTAAGAAGTAGCACAGGTTCATTAACTCTTCTGCTGCATCTTGTTTGCATAAAAGTCTCTGCAAGTCTGGCAACAGCGCTGATACCACCGCATGTCTTGGCACAGATTCTTCTCCCGGATCACCCTGCAGTACACTGTCCACTGGTCGCCTGTGCACTTGTACGTGAGAGCAGCTTTGGACAAGAAAAGAGAGGAGAAACTAGCAGATTAGCCAGAGGATAGCATGGCAGGTGGGATCAAAATCACTGCACATTGGGGAAGAAAGGGCCAATCTCGCTGTTGGCGCTGGAGATGAGATGATGTTCTTTCTACTGAAATATCAAGCTCTTGGAAGTGCTTACTGCAAGGGTGTAGCTGGACATGAGTGAGGAGTGCAAGCCTCCTCACCTTGTAGATATTTTGTCTCAGTGACAAATAGGCCTAGATTTAAGCACATGGCCTAGATTTAAGCACATGAACACTACACAGCAGTCAGGGAGAAGCTGAGTGCTCCCAGGGAGAGCGCTTGACTAAGGCATGCTTTCAGCATTGGCCATCATCCTCTTGGTGGAGAACATTTTTACAGAGGAGCAAACTCAAACCCAATTTGATGGATGTAAAGATAAATTAATAGGAAGTAAAAAGCATACTTCTTAGTGTAGTAAAACCAGTAGGACAACAGTTAGCTCTTGGGAGGGGGGGATGGATGTCAGAAAACCCCTCAGACCAACAAAAAGTTTGTGCAGAGGAGGGGAAAGCAGCACAAAGACTGTGGCTGAATCTGTTGAAAATATTGTTAAAGGGCCACATATGCTTTTATAAAAAAATAATGGTAGCAAAACTGTCCACTTGATAAAAGTGCACACATAGAGTGAGTGCTTTTTACAGTATGTGATTTATAAATTGTATGTAGCGTTCTTACAAATGCTGTGATAAATGGAAAACCTTCTAAACAAATAGTGTGGCCTCTGAGGTTGGGGAAAAATTGGTCTAATTAAAGAATATTGAAAGGTGCAGGAGCACCTTGAGTCCCTTGTTCCTCATCTCTGCTGGATGAAACCAGGAAAGGCTCTTATCCTGTATTTACCCGTGAGTCTCTGTGCAAAGCATCAGGAAACAATGGCAGCAAAACTGGTAGGAATGTTTATCACTGAAGCTTTGTTCAGTTGGACAAGAAGCAAAAGTTTGATAGAATTTGATGAAATGAAGTTGCACTGTCCCAGAAAAAAAAAGGAACATGAAGCCAATTTTAAAAGATCTTATTGTGAAAAAACAATTAGAGTAGATGTGTCCATCCTAAACAGGAGGAGGGTAGAGCTCTTTCTGTGTCTGCCAGCAGTGGAGGGGCTTTTTGAGGGGATTAGATCTGCAGCACTCTCCACTAGCTATGGTTCCAACCAAGCACAGAAAATGGGATGTAGCTGAATAAATTACACAGCTTGCAAGAACATCTGAGATAGACCTTATGAATCTGAGATGAGAGACTTTATATAATAGAAAGACTGAGCCACAAACAAGGCTAGGACTAATATTTTAGATGTCCAAGGTCCTTATGAAGTAGGACAGGAAGCATGTTGAGGAAGTGACGTGGGTCAGGTGCCTGAGGGACACAATAAATCCCCTCTGAATGTGTCTTCACTGAGGGACAGGTGAACTCCACACTTCTGGAAATGTTACCTGGGACAAAAAACATTCTGGAGTGGGGACAAGGCAGCATGGGTTTTGTAGACTACTGAATTTTTTTTCTGCATAATTTTTTTGTGAGGTTTCCATTGCAGAAAAGAGAAAATTTTGTTTAAAGATAATCCAATGAGAATTGTTTATAAGCAGGAGGAGCAAAACACTCAATGATATCTTTCTGCTAAGATCAAATATCATTGTTTCTGGCCCTGGTGATTCCAAGTCGGGTTTAGAAACAAAAGCATCCCAAATTACTTGCAGATTACTTTCAGCAGAGACTTGAGCCTCCTCAGTCTTCTAAACATGTGAGCTTCTTATTGCTTTGTCTTAAAATGTGAATTAGGTTGGATTTCTTGTCTCATCAGTGTATCAAGGGCTTATTTCTCAAATGAAATGTTTTCCTTTCACTATGCTCTTAGTGCTAAAACATCTGGGAAGTACTCTCACGTGTTCTTAAACAAAAGAGGTTAGAAGCTCCTTAGTATGACTGCATTTGCTAGAATAAAATTTCCCATGTTCTTTTAAACATCTGTTAAACTTTTGGGAAACAAATTTCAGTTCAGAAACTTCAAGTCTAGTCCTAGTTTAAGTGTTATTTCATACTAGACAGTGCTACTAGAAAATGGTTCTTTATTACTTAGCAGCTCTGCCTTTTAATGTGTAGGCTTCTTAGCCTACAAAACCAGCTCTGCTGAGAGGGTGGGGGCTGTTTTTCCTGGTAAGCTCTTAGCAGCATTGTTTACAACCCAGCCTGGTGCACTGAAAAGGAATGGGAGGCACCGATGAGGCTGTGTCAGTGTAGCTGATGGCTTAGTTTAGCTTCATCTTAATGGTGATGATGTGTGAAATGTAAAGAAACCAGCTTGGTTCTTGGAGCTGTGGCTGAACACACAGGGCTGAAGTTTGGAAAAATATATTTTTATCCCCTTATAAACTGAGCAAATATGACATGGAAAATCATGGATTCTCTCAATTTTGTATTAACAGAAGCATTTTCAACTAGAGTCATTTCTTAAATAGTGTTAAGGTGTTAGAGGAAACAGATGGCTTATCACCAAGCCCTCATCTCAGCCAGGTGCACAGGGGATGCAGGGAGGGTGAGGAGAAGGACAGTGACAGAAAATCAAAGGGTTCACAGAAAGAGGCTGAATGCTGTCTTGCCTCCCTGGGCAAATTAATCCATCAAACCACATTCTTGTTGCAGCAAATGGAAAGGAAAAAAGAGAACTAGCAATGCTCTACTTGTCACGGTCATGTACTTTTCTTGGGACATGGATGAATAAATTATCATCCTTTACACTTACCACAGCAAAAGCAGGGTGTGAAGGTGTTTGTGACAGAGGAGGATATGCCTGTCAGCTCCCTCACCTCAGTGACAGTCAGTCCATCACCCACCATTTGTGTGCTCCTGTTGGTCTCTCAGCTCTACTCACTGCTGAGTGCTCCAGCTCAGGCAAATCTGAGGCAGGGATTGATGGGTGAGAGAGGATTGATCCACACTAGACCTTTAGTCTAGAGTCTGAGTTGGGGGTCCTCTCCTAATTTCTGGCCCTGGGCAATCCTCTGAAGCCCCACTTTTATCACACTAGGCACACTGGGACCCTGGGCTTTGTCTGGTCCTTCGCAGGTGGCATCTTCCCCCCAACACCCCTCACTCACCAAGTCTGGGCGAGGTAATTGTGTTGACGTTGATCTTCTCATTGCAGACCTCTTGGTGGCACTGCCTGTAGGCTGGCGGCTTGGACAGGACAGGACACTCATTGCCATGGCGCCCGGTGACTTTGTGCATACACTGGACCACGCGTGACTGGAGGCCTTTCCCACAGGTTGAGGAGCACTGGAGAAGAGAAGGCACTGAGACATGGTCCAAACAGAGCAGCTTCCAAATCACATACACACATACACCAGAAAAACCCCTGCCAGACCTGAAGTGTGCAGTGGGCTGGCAGCTCACTATGGTGCTGAGGACTCAACAACAGGGGCATCGTGTCAGCCAGGGACCATTCAGACACCAGTTACATTTATCCATGATGATTTCACAGCTCCAGGGAGTGCTGTGAGCAGAGGAACTGTTCTGGCAGAGAGGAGGAAGCTGAACTTGTCTGAGGAAGCTTCTGTCTGAACTTGGTCTGAGTCCATCTACATTGACTGCCCCCTGCCCATGAGGTTCAAGAAAGCAAGAGATGCAATTCTCTTCACGAGCCACAAAAAGGCAAAGCTGGAAAATGTATACTGCTTAATTACAGACAAACAGCTTCCATCTCCCTCTCCATGAGGGAGGTACCCAGTGGTACTGGTTGTCTTGGTTTAAAAGCCCTCTCCAAGACTTGGATGGTCTAACAAGGCTTCCTCCACAGACAAGATGACCACTGCCAGGCACTGATATAAGATAAAACTGAAGACCACAGCAGAGGCAGGCAGCTCCTACTGCATGCCCAGACCTCTAGAGAAGCTCTGTTCCAGTATATAGGAGAACACAGGTATTCAAGTATTCCCTCTCATCCATCCCTGCTAACTGTCTGGCACTTGTCTGTCCTCCTGGGAGCAATTGCCAATTGTACTCTATGAGTTTTGGCTTCTATTAGCCAGGAGGCCCAGCCTGTTTATATGCTCTCTTTGTTGTCATATAATTGGAGTCCCTACCTCTCCCTCCCTCTTCCTCTGGCCCAGTCACTCGTGATTTACAATGTCCTACTTGCATGCTGTTCAATTTTAATAAAGCAAACACAGTGAGCACAGTGAGGTGCACCAGCTGGAGTTAATAAAAGAACCTTGTATTTAAAATAAAGAAACAATGGGTTGCAGGACTTTGGTAAGATTTCTATTTCTGCTAAAGCCACACACAAGCAAATGATGGGGGAGAGGAGGAGGAGGTGGGGGAAAATGCAGGAGATACTGTTAGGATGATGTCGAAAAGATCGTGTTTTCTGTTCTCTGCTGTTCCTGAACAAAGTCAGGGCAGTGGAACTCTCTCCCTCAACATCACTATCACCTCAGAGTGGTACTTAAAAATAGCATGCCAAACATTGAAGAAGCTCAAAAGATGAGCACTGTTGAGGCTGGACTGAAGTCCAGCTACAAAGGGTGTATAAGCAGTGTGGATGCTTGAAAGATGAGGACTCGGGGTCAAAAGAACACATGGACATATGTAGGGCTCCACCTCTCCCACCTATTGGGGACAGCACAGCAAAGCTGTGGTCATTTTGTTCTGGAAGTATCACGAGAAACCCCTGCTGCTTCTCAAAGACCATCTGATACAAGAAGCATAGCTTTGTTCTGGGTTGAAACACAGGGAGCTTTTCCTTCCTGTGTGGATCATTCAATGGCCTGATAAAAAATGGCCTCATATTAACAGGACCACATAAAATAGAGCTGATGGATGCTCTATCTTTGCTGCTGATGGATGCTCTATCTTTTCTGCTTCAGAAAACCCCGTGCAGAAATACATTTACACGATATGAACAACTTATTTCTAGGTAGGAGGAGATGTAGAATCAGTGAAGCCTGTTGTCAAAAATAACATAGACTCTTAATCTATTCTTCTTTAATCACTCACATTAATGGCTGTTTATTAAACAGGTTTCTTGTACTTGGTGTACTCCCTGAATTTGTATTTGCTTTTCTCTTAATTTTCCCCCTGTATTCCACCTGCTCCTTCACCCAGTGCCTTTCTCTAGCACTGAATTTCTCCATCAGGAACAATCTCTGGCTAAGATCCCTGGTGGACTTTGATATTAAGCCATCCTGGTGTGCAGTTTACCTCTGTGTTTCCAGCTATGCAGCCCCCTCCAGGACCTGATTATTGTATTACGAAGGTATTATTAAAATTTTACATGTATTTTGGAACTTCTTTTTTAAAAAATAAGCAATATTTTTTTTCCCTATACATCTTTCTTATTTCAACTTAGGGTCAACACACTAGTTTACAACAGATTTTTTTGCACTTAGATTTTCAGATGTTGAATTTCCATAAAAATTCAGTCCCCTATACATCCTTCTTATTTCAATTTAGGGTCAACACACTAGTTTACAACAGGTTTTTTTGCACTTAGACTTTCAGATGTTGAATTTCCATAAAAATTCAGTCACTGTTAATACCTCAACAATTATTATAGCATTTAGGACTATGCTGAATGAGCCCTTCCCTTGTATGCCCTACAGTGACCTATTCCAAAAAGGAACTGTTAAAAGTCTCTTATTTAAACTCCCTTCATAACTTGAGCTTGCTCAGTGAGATCTAGGCATGTCACTAGTCTTGGGTGTCCCTCTGCTCTTCCCCAGCACTGTGTGCCCTCAGGGACTTCTACCAGTCTGAAAACCAGTCAGGCATGGCCATTAAATTTGGATTTAAAGTTAACAATTTTTATCCTGATAAATGCAACTATTAGGCCCTTCCACTTCACTAGTCATAGGCGACCTCTAATCCTCAGGATTTCAATGGCACTTTTAGTCTTCAGAGTGATTTACTAATCTTAATCCTCACAAAACTCTTTGCAAGGGGAGTGAATTGTACGTCCATTTTACAAACACAATAGCTTTTACCACACAGGCATAAAATAACCCACCCAGGCCATGGGTTTCCTTCACATGATTGTAATATAGTGAGTCTGAAACCTCTGTCTCTGGCTTTTAGGCACTCCCTGTGCTAACGAATTCTCTTAACAGAGGGGAGAAAAAAAAGGAAAGAAGGAAAAAAAGAAAAAAAAGCATTTTTTTTCTCATAAGGTGAATAAGATTTTCAGATACCAACATACAAACACTCACCTACCTTTGTCTGTGTTCCTGTCTCTGCATTTGTTAACCAGCAAGGAGGGCAAGCAATGAAACTTTTTCCACAGACACTGCCAACTCCAATCCTTAGACAAATAACAGCAGAGTTTTTGCCCGAAGCAGTTTTATTCCTTCTCCTGGGAGACTGGGATCATCACCTATGCTATGCAATTAGTTTTTCACAGCCAGGAAGACAGATTTTAACATCTTTCTTGAACTCTTTTGGGCTTGGCAGCTAAAGGAAGGTTGGACATCTGGCTTATTTTAAGACGAAATTTTCAACTCTGTACTTGGATAGTCTCTTTCCTAGGAATTTCAATAGGAAATAGGAATAGATACAAAATACATACAAAGGGGGAATTGTTACTCGTGCTGCACTATGAAAAGAGGACATCATTAAAAGAGGCATAAAAATCAAACTCCAACTGAACAGCAAATTCCCATAAATACCTTCCCTCCTACTCTGGACAGCCAAATGCATTGCTACGGTCTCGCTGTTCCCAAATATTTCTGGAGCAAGAAAGCATATCCACAGAACAATTCTCAGGGCTAGATTCACTCTGTGTCCTCTGATACAGGAGGCTCAGGCTTGGACCCAGGTTATGAGAAGTTTGAGGAAGGAAAGGTGCTGTGGCCTTCTTGCAAACAGAGGAACTCTCACGCAGCCAAGAGCCATTTCCAGCCCCGCACTTGATGCAGCTTCTCCATACCTGGTACATCTCCACTGTGCAGAACACTGGGAGGCTCCAGTGCTGCACAGAGCAACTGCACCAATTGTATCTGAAAACACTGTTGATGGACACGGGATTTTTTGGGCAAATATTGAGTTCTTACACTGCTATTAACAAATATACTCTGAAAATTGGAAAAGCCTTTACAAGCATTGGTGTAACTCTCAAGATACCTACATGTTTTGATGCCATGATGGAATAAAGTGATCTGTGAATGTGAAGGACCAGTTTTGGAACCTGGTTTGGAGCTGTGCAGATCTCTGACTGCCACCTGAGCTGCTATGCAATTACTGAGAGAAAACCCACAAGCAACTTGCCCACTCTGGGAAGCTGGGGACTTGGACAAGTGGTTGAACAGAGACATCGGTGCCAAACAAAGAAGTGGGTTTTTTTCCTTCCACCAGGCATTGCCAGTGATATCACTATCAGAAAAATGTATATGCAAGATTCATGTAGTCTAACCATAACCCACTAAACTGACAATAGAGCCGTTGTAAATTGGAAATCCACCCACAAGCAAAGATCAAAGGATTGTTCTGCACTGTAAAAAAGAGGGGGGGTTAATGAATAGTTACAAAAAGTGAACATAAAAAGTGAACCTAATGAGAGCCCTTGTAACTCCCAGTTCAAACGCTGCTTGAGAAGGCAAAAGAAATACAAAAAAGTGCCTCCATTCACATTCTTTGGCAGTAATGTGCAAGCCAGTGGGGATATCCAGAAGGAAATAAACTCACAAATTGTCAAGGCAGCAGCTGCATTCATCAGCTTAAAGAAGATTTACTCACCGAAAAACTCCAACCTTAAGACCAGGCTATGATTTTTCAACTGGAATGCTATTTCCACCTTAGGATACTGATATGAAAGCCTGAAATCTACCAAAGATGCTGACAGATGTCTAATTGCTTTGAAAGCAAATGCCTCGGGAGAATATTAGGTATTAAAATAGAATGAATTTACAGTAAGTGCTGAGATCTGTCAGGGACTTCATCAACTCTTGATCTACAAAAGATAACCAGAGAAAGAGAGAGGAATAAGAATGAATGAAGGCAGGGCAGGGCTGCCGTTGGGCAGCTGGAGGAATGCAGAAGAGAGACCAGTCCAAAGAATCACTGTGTTGAGGCTTAATAGGGACAGAAAAAGGTACAGATTTACCAGGAGAGGGGACCAGCTGTGATCTGTTCAGAGCTGAATGGGATAATGAAGCATTGCTTATGCCTTAGGTGAGGGCTGCTGGCTAGGCAGCAATGCATTCAGCAATGCATCACCTTTAGAAATGTCACTTTTCTAAGAGATGTTGGTCTCTTTTGTAGGAAACTTGCTTTTTCCAGCAGAAGGT